ATCTAGATATTAATCTAGATACTAATTTTATATATCGTCATAGTTTATATAAAATTTTATACTATTATAAAGGTTAGAGTTTTATATATATAATTTTTTTAACTAATCAAATTCATTTATTTTGCTCAAATGTGATTGGCCAGCTCAAAAATCTCAGCCTTTTTATATTTATCAATTTTTCTATATATAGATATAACTTTAATACTAAAATACAAGTAAATACTAACTAATCAAACTGCATTAATTTTCGGCCAATCATTTAAATATGCCAAACAACCCTAGAATAAAGAGCCCTAAGCCCATATAACCTACCAACTATATATAAGTTTATATATAAACTTAACCATAACTCTAACCCTAGAACAAAAACAAATATTAATTTCATTTTACATCTAATATCCAATCAAATTGCATCTTGTTTCTTAAGTAAGTTTTATATATATAATTTTTTTAACCAATCAAATTCATTTATTTTGCTCAAATTTGATTGGCCAGCTCAAAAATCTCAGCCTTTTTATATTTATCAATTTTTCTATATATATATATAACTTTAATACTAAAATACAAGTAAATATTAACCAATCAAACTGCATTAATTTTTGGCCAGTCAGATTTAAATGTGCCAAACAGCTCTAGAATAAAGAGCCCTAAGCCCATATAACCCAAACCCAAACCCAAGCCCAAGTAAAAATATAATCTCTACACTATTTGAACTTTTGGACAAGCAGTTTAAACTTATCGGTCAGAATTGGAAAGCATTCTGCAACAACATATCAAAATGCCCATAGTGCTTGGCTATACATCAGAATTCAGATAAAACAAAGAACTTTGATGAATGTATATATAATAATTACCGAAGAGACTATACATATTTTCTTTATTTATTTTATTATAATTTTCATTATTTATTTTATAATAATTTTTTTATTTATTTTATTATAATTTTCATTATTTATTTTATTATTATTTTCATTATTTATTATAATTTTTTTTTTTTTTCTAACTTACAGAAAATGGCTTAACAGGCCTTAGCATTTAAGTACCTTCATGAAAAGAAAGATACACAAGTTACCAAATATAATACGGATAAATTAACAAATTTATTAATAGATAATAATATCCATTTATCTAAACTATCGAATCCTAGTAAGGCTACAGATGAGAGAGGACAATTATATATTAATATTCATGGCCTATCTTGGAGGTCAAGTAAAGTATAAATTTTTTTTTGTTTGTTAAATTAATTCAACTAATATTTAATATATACTGTTATACATTTTAATTCAATTAATATTATTTGACTAATCTTTAATATATAATATTACATTAATTCAACTAATATTTAATATATGATATTTGACTTGCATTCAATCTACTGATCGAATACAGGTCGAATACTATATCATTCAGCATCAAATTTACTAATTATAAAAATTTATATATTTGTTTATTTTTATTTTAATAGTTAATTCACTTGTTGTATAAATCTTTGATCTGATAGTTGTGCTAGCTCAAAAATATTCCCATAAAAAATCACATATGTTGAGAGTTCAGAGGACTGAAGGTGTACCCGATTGAGCAGCAGATAGAGAAAATGAAGAAATTTATTCTAGTGGAAAAGAAGAGAATGAAAATAATGATAATAAAGATAATAAAAAAATAAAGATAATAAAGATAGTGATAGTAATTATAATGAGGATAAAGGTGAGAATAGTAATGATGGTGGTAGAAATGGGTGGTAGAAATGGGGTGACAAAACAAGTGGTAAAAGACCAGCTTCTAATACTATAGTAGAACAACCAAATAAGAGTGCTAATATTTAT